ATCAAACAATCAAGTCTCTCACAATACTTCAGTTTATTTCTGTCAACACAAGAGTTATCGTGTCAGACCTAGACGCAACCTCGTTCCCAGGGTCTCTGGGAACGAGGTTGACATTGACGCACTCAATGGTTGACGCATCATTCGTCTTCCTGAGTAAATGCGGCCTTTATGATTAGTTGACAGCTGCAGACGTTTCACATGTCCTGCCCAATAGTTATGCTGATCCATAAAGCAACGTTTTCAATTTTATTTCAGACTTATTAATTTTACTTTTTTTAAGCCGAAAGGATGACGTCTAGCCTCTAACGCAGACAAAAACAAAACAAACCAAAAAAAGAATGTCCGCGTACGAGGCTAAAAAGAGTCAGATTAATCTAGCCCTTCTCATTTCTCACTTCCTCTAAGTGGATAATTAAATAACAAGGAATACCTGTGTTCTCCACTGTTCAACTGCGACACCTAACAAGAAACCAAAGTTGACATTCTTACATATGTATTAAAAATAATAATTGAACAATCAATAGCGCGCCCACAACGCTAAAGTTTGGTTTAGGCAGTTTGAAAAAAAATACATAGGGGTGTAACGCTTCTGGGTATGGCCGGTTTTCAGTGTCATGCCATCGAAAATAATCACGAGTCAGCTCATTCATGCGTACTATCTCTATTGCACGGGATGCGTAGGTTGCACTTCTTTCGCAAAAAGAATGGGCGGGTACTGGAATCTCAGCGATAATTTTTAGCGATTTCTCAGCTCTTATATGTAGTTAAAATTCCAGCCCATTTCTCAGCAATCAGTGAATTATGCCGATCTCAGATCTCAGTTCCAGCTGTCAGTCAAAAAAACGCGTCATTTCTAAGCTAGCAATTAAAATTCTGACCTATTCTAATTTACCTGAAGTACACAGAACAAGGCATCGCTTCCTTACAGTACAAGCTGCTGTCACACCCACAAGGGTCTTACCGGCTCCTGTTTGTGAAGAAACAATAGGAACATTATGCTCTTCAACCTCTCAGACTATGCTGTATACCCGG